ATAAAGTTCCCTTAACTTCTCTAACCACTTATCTTACGCATAACTGCTGATGCCAGTTATACTTATTATTGTTCACACTTGTAAATTATGTATAACTACTGATGCCAGTTATACTTATTATTGTTCACACTTGTAAATTATGTTCAAAAAGCAAAAATCTGAATGTATGGTGCTACAGACAAACTACGGTTCTCATTTTGGACTTACTGTACAATCAAATTACATGTTTACAAATATATTTTCGCACCTTAGGCATACTTCACTTGGAAGGTGGAACTGAAAGCCTTCCATTACACTGAAGTTGTTCAAAAGGCCTCAAAATATAATTTTAAACTCACAGTACCTTGATCTTAAATAAACTTAAAAAAGAAAAATAAAGTTCCATGCAGTCATATTCAATGCATACGCAAGGAGGCATCATACTGACCATTTCTAACAATTGCACTCAATGACACAACATGGGAAGACATCAATGTCTTCCCATGTTGAGAGTGCATTGCTGCTACAACTACTACAAAATTCCAGTGAAACCCTCCTCTTGGACACATGCAAGCATACACCAGAATCATATGCATCTATGTCAGAGGGAGTCAAAGAGTGGCAGATCTAAAGTATCACCAGGAGGCACTGATGAAGAAATGGATACATCATCTAAAAATTCAGTGTCATAAGCATCTATCTCAGAGGGAGTCAAGAGGGGCAGATCTAAAGTATCATCAGGAGGCACAGACAAAGAAATGGATACATCTAAAAATTCATCTATCTCAGAGGGAGTCAAGAGTGGCATATCTAAAGTATCATCAGGAGGCAATGACAAAGAAAGGGATGGATCTATAATAGCAACATGTTGTTTTTCATCACCTGAAGCAACAGTTGCACTGTCTTTATCAAACAAATCATTAACACTTGTGGCAATACTACTGTCACTTCTTGTACATAAAAAATTGGGATCTGCAGTTTTTCTTAAGGATGTTGTTACTGGTAGCCCTGTATTATGTATGGACTTTATCAGCATACTAATGTCCTTGTTGTTGGCTAACACTGCCTTCAAATAATGAACCTCTTTTCTTAAAGAGCACACAACCGAGGACTGACCTTCATTAATCTGTTTAAGTCTGGCATTCTCTTCAGTCAGTCGGGCTACCTGATTTTCCAGATATTCTAAGAAGTTCTTCTTCTTAAGCCGGCTAATTCGCGCCATCTCAGCTTTTCTAGACAGGCTTTAAGATCGCTTCCTTTTGTGTTCCAAGCTTCGTAGGTCTAGATTACCTTCCTTGAACAGTGGGGGGTCTGTGTGAGTTGGACGCACTACTGCCATGTTGACTTCCACTGGTCCAGGCAAGTCCCACTGAACTGGCTGCGACAGACTTTGCATCTCCAGTTCGCGTTGGGCCTTCAACTCAGAAAGGTATCTGGTGTCCACATCTGCAACTTCTACTGGAGCTTCCATTTCTTCCTCATAATCTTTCCTTGGGGCAGGCAAAGAGTTCAACCCAGATAGAAGCTGCTCTTTTAATGACGAGGCAGCATTACACAATTCACAAAATGTAGGAATGGAATCATACTCATAATTAAAAAAATAAAAAAAGTTTGTGAGTAGTATTTGAACCACAAACCTCAATGCCGAAGGCAAGCATGCTAACCATTACATGACGCCTCTACTGCTGTTGAAATGCCATTAATCATTATATATACAGATACATGCACAGAAACATTCTTTATACTCGCTGTATACTATTATGGAAGAGTTCTGAATACCCATAATATAAAGTTTCTATTTCTTCCTTACAGTAAAAATAACATTACAACTGGTCTTCGAATATAAAAAGTAACCGCCTTCTGTTAAACAGGCTTTATGGAAGGCCAAAAAAATAAAGTGTACTCGATTGTGTTCCTCCCACACTTTTCAACTTCGGTAAAAGCAAAATTGCCTGAATAGTTTCTCGAGTCCA